TCTAAGGGCCTTCCCAGGTCTGACATTCCATGTTCTAAGGGCCCTTCTAGCTCTGACACTCCATGTTCTAAGGGCCTTCCTAGCTCTGTCATTCCCTGTTCTAAAGGCCTTTTTAGCTCTGTCATTCCATGTTCTAAGGGCTCTCCCAGGTCTGATGTGTCATGTTCTAAGGGCCCTCTTAGCTCTAGCATATGATGTTCTAAGGGCTTCCCAAGTTCTAAGGGTCCCTCCTTTGTATGTTTATTCCCATGACATCCTCCATGGTTCTATGACCTGCCCTCCACCCTGAGGCCCCCAGCTGTGGCCCTCACCCTCATAGTTCCTGGCTTCCAGGCTCAGCACCCCTGGGGCTGAGGTTTCCAGCAGGGCCCGCAGGCAGCTGGAGCTCCGGTGTTCACAAGCCAGGTGAGCTGCTGTCTGGCCATTTCGGTCCAGGGCCATGGGATTGGCCCCCTTGGACACCAGGAGCCTCACCACTGAGGGCAGGGTAGTGATGACCGCCAGGTGGAGGGGCGTCTGCCCAGGAGAAGAGCTGTGAGGGCCCTGAGCATCCAGATGGCCCCCCCCACCCCCTCAGTGACCCAGGCTGGGTGCTATTGTACAAAGACAAAGGTGAATAGTCCCTGCCCTCAGAGAGCTTACAATCTCCAGGGGGAATCAAAGAGTACCCGAAAGGGTGTACAGGTTGAGACTACCTGCGAACAGAAGGGGTTAACTAACAATGGGACCCCTCCCGTCCCCCTCCAGCCCAGTAGGGTCCCTGACTTTTGGGCTCACCTGCCTTAAATTATTGTAGACGTCCAGGTCTCGCCCTCCCTGTTGGAAGAGGTGGACCAGGCGATGGACAGCGAGAAGGTTGCCCTGGGCTACTGCGATGTGGAGGGGCCTGGGAGGAAGCGAGGCCGGTGGGCTTCCTGACTCTCCCCCATCCCTGCCCTGCGTCCCACCCAGCCCCGTGGGTAGAGGAGGGTGAGAACCACATGGTGTTGGCTGAGTAGGGGGAGGGGAAATGCTACAAAGCTGCAGGCAAATCACGTTTTCTGAGACTCAGTTTCCCCTTTTTGTAAAGCTACAGAGAAGGAACGGGAGTGGATGGTCCAAAGGCGCCTTTCAGTGAGGCCAAGTTCTGGGGTCCCTCCCACCCAATCTGCCCGCACTGGTACTTTCTGCCTTTCCCTCCTGACTTTCTCTGCATCCCTCAATCTTCATCCCTTTAGCCTCTACCTGCGGTCACTCAATCCCCAGTTCCTCATTCTCCCCTTGCCCCACCCCCACTCCACCCCCATCCCTGTCCCTTGGTCCCAGGCCCCAGGGTACGTGGGAGGGGCTCAAAAGGGGAGCAGGAGTTGCTGATTTCAGAGAAACCTTGGGGCTGGAGGCCGGAGTTCCCATAAACCGAGGCCTGGAGGGAGGGGGAGGGCAGGAGGGAGGAGGCGGGGTCGAAGGAAGTGGGGATGGGAGGGGCTGGCCCTGCCCTCACAGACTTCCAGTAACCAGGCTGGGGGGGGGGGGGGGGGGGGCGGAGAATCCACTTCCTGCCCCAGGGAGGGGGGAGGGGAAAGGATGGGGCAGAAGCTGGCCAAGCTGGGCTCTCCCCCTCCCAAGACCCTGCAACCCCGGGGCCCAAAAACTGGGGGCATATTCCCTCCATTTGGGGGAGCCCTCAGCTTCCGTCCCTTTGGAGATTGGAGTTGGATTCCCAGCCCTCTCCCAAGCCTTCTAGGGACCCAGGTGTCCCTTAGGACTCCAGGCTCCTTCCCTTCCTAGGCCTGGGCAGTGAGCTCCTTCCCCTCACCCCTAGCCTCATTTGCCTCTGGGACCCAGGATACCAGCTCTGGGGCCCTCATTTCCTTTCCAACCCTAGCATTAAATCCCCTCTATGCCTGACCCTTTGAGGGTTCAGCGCTCCAGATTCCCAGCTCCAATTTCCCACCCCAGGATCCAGGAGCAGGAGGGGTCCCTTGGGGTCAGCACTAAGGTCAGGAGTGAGCAGATCCATTCCAGTAAGCCCTGTGGCGCCTGCCTCCCTCACAGTGGGAGCTGAGGGCGGAAGGGGTTAAGGCCGAGTGTGTGTACAGGGGGAGGCTGACGCAGGCCTGGGGGAGCAGCTGGGGCTGTGGTGTGTCCTGCGGTCTGGGGCTTCCCCGGGAGGCAGCCATTGCAGAAGTGTTTGTGTTGGGGCTGGGAGGGGGGGGAAGCAGCGGTGAGGATGAGAGTGAAAGAGAGGGGAAAAGGGACACAGAAGGGGGAAGGGAATTGAGGGGCATATGGCAATCGAAGGGAGATGGGGACACCAGCAAAGGGAGCTGGGAGCTGTCAAGGGGGGAAGGATTCACAGGTGGGGCACAGGGATGTGTTTGTCAGAGGGGGAGGGGGAGAGGGTCTATGGAAGGAGGAGGGGCAGAGGGGTGTGTGGCAGTCCTCAGAGGAGGCAGAGGTCCAAAGGTTACTCACGTGTCTCCATCCTCATCGGGTCTTGTGGCCTTGGCAATGTCAGCAGTGAGTGGGTTCTCCAGGGGGCAGAGCACTGGGTAGGTGGGTGGTGGCAGGCTCAGTACTGAAAATGGGGCTGGTGCAGGATATAGGAAGGGGCCTGTGGGAGAGAGGGTGTGAGGCTCTGAGACTCCCTCTCCCCCCTCCATTCTTAGTAGTAGTAGTAGTAGTAGTAGTAGTAGTAGTAGTAGTGGTAGTAGTAGTAGTAGTAGTAGTGGTAGTAGTAGTAGCATTACTACTACTACTACTACTAAGTAGAACTGCTACTACTACTATACTAGCACTAATACTACTGCAACTAGTGGTAGTATTAATACTAGCACCACTGCCTAACTAATTTACATAGCCTTACTAGGTGTCAGGTATTGTGCTAAGTGCTTTACAATTATTACTAAGGACAGAAATAAGGAAGGGGAGGGAAGCAAAGGTTTTAGTGTGAAGGAAGAATGTCAATGAAATTCAGACTCTTTGAGTGGGATAGGAGCTTAGAGCATAGGAAGCCAGACCTGACAGATGGTTGGAGGTACTGTGGGAAAAGAAAAAGAATTGGCTTTGGTGTCTGAGAACATCACTTCAAACCCTGGCTCTGCCATAAGCTACCTGTGTGACCTTGGGCAGTTCAGGCTTCAGTTTCCTGGCCCGTAATATGAAAGAGCTGGGACCAAGGTCTCTTTCAGCTCTGCATCTCTGTGATTTGTACTCCTCTATGAGGCTGCTGGCCTTTCAGAATGTCAGAGCCTGAAGGAGCCTTAGAGACAGTCCAGATTCATCACTTTGCACTGGATGAAACAGGCCAGAGAAGGGGAAGAAGACTTTCCCAAGGTCTTAGAACAAGTCAGTGGCAGAGTCAGAACTACACTGACATCTCCTACCTTCCAGCTCAGGGTTCTCTCCATTGAGGTTCTAGGGGCCAGGGATGGACTGAGGGCTATTTGTATGTGTGTGCATGTTGGGGGGAGATGCCTGGGCAAGGCTCTCAGTGGTTTTTCTGGGTGACTCAGGGTCACGTCACACTGTGACTAGAATCAGCCAGTTTGTGCAATGTCCTTGCTCCTGGGGTGGGGGACAGAGCCTTGGGGGGACAGGTTAAGGGTGGGTTGCCTTGTAGGGGGCAGGGTGAGGACTGGATAAAGATCCAGGAAGCATGGGGTGATTGGGTCGGGAAGTGAGGGTAGACAGATTGGGGAAGGAAGAAAGAGGTCCCGGGTTTGGGCAGGAGGTTAGGTTGAGAACGGTCAGGCCTGGGGAGGAGGGTGGGAAACGGAGGATGTACTGACTTTGGAATAGAGGAAAGGGTCAGGGAGGAGGCAGTCTTTGGGGAGTTGGGTTAGCATGGATATAGGATCAGAAGAGGTAAGGGGGTCATGGAGAGGACAGACAGGTGTTAGGGTTAGAGGGAGGATGCCCAGGTAAGGACTACACCAGGGTGTCCAGATCGAAGATAGCGTGAGGAAGGGCAGCTGGCCAGGCTGCAGGTGCCCAGGCTGGGTTGAACACCTGCACCCAGTGTCCAAGCTGGGTTGGAACAAGGGTGCCTGGGTTAGGATGGGGTGGGTTTGGCTGGAATATGTGGAAGATAACCAGGTCAATGTCAGGCAAGGGTGCCCAACCCAGGTCGGAACAAAATTGCTTTGGGCATCGGGTGGCAGCCTCAGGACAGGTGGGGGGTGCTCAGGAAAGCACAGGAGTAGAGCCAAGGATCAAGGCCTGGACGAGGGCGGGGTGCTTAGGCTGCCAGGGGTAGGAGTTCATCTGTGTCCCCCTCACTCACCAGGATAGTAGATGGCTGTGGCAGGGCCCGGGAGGCCAGGGTACGTGCTGGGGCTCTGGGGCGAGGGCTCCGGGGCTGGGACGATGCCGGGCCCGGGGGACTCCTGGGGCTCCCGATAGCGCCGCTTTCTCAGGGGCAGTGTGGCCTCAGAGTCGGGGGCCCCGGCTTTGGGCCGCGTCCGCAGGTCCACGGGCCCCTCGTCCATGTCCCGGGGGCATCGGGGCATGGCCGGGGCCCCTGGCTGCCACGGGGGCTCCCTGGGGCCCGCCGGGGCAGAGGCAGGGCGGGGAGCTGTGCAAAGCCGACGGGGCGGACTGAGCCCCGTCTGGGAGGGAGGCCCGGTCGCCGCCGCCGGGCACAGGCTGCAGCCCGGCTGGGCTCCGCTCAGATATCAGCGCAGAGAGCAGCGCACCAGGGACTTCCCCTCCAGCCAGCTGAGCTGAAGGGACTTTTGTGAGCCGGGGCGGCGCCCGCCCTCCCCCGCCTCCGCCCTCCCCCGCCTCCCTCCCCCTCCCCGGGCTGGCCGGGCCCCCTCCCTCCCGGGCTTTCCTGGAGGCTCCGGGCTCAAGTCTCCCGGCTTCTCCTCCCCTTCCTTCGCTCCCGGGGTGTTGTTTTTTTTTCCTCGTCTTTTCACGCACACACACACACACACGCACGCACACACACACACACACACACACACACTTTCTCTTGCTCTCTCCTTACCAACCAACGTGTCTGATTGTCTCTTAGTCTCGGCTGCCTGTCTATCCTTCTTATATGTCTCAGTCTGATCTCAGACACTTTCTCTGTCTGTCCCTACTCTCCACGTCTTTGTTCCGTCTGTCTTTAGGCCCTAACTCTTTATCGCTGTGCTCTTAATCGCATTCCCTGTCCTACCCCCTCCGCCGTCTCTGGGTCTTCTCTCTGTCTCTGCCTCTGGGTCCAGCCTCTTTCTGGGGTCCCCGTCCTGTGTCTGACTGTACCCTCGCCTCCCGTTGCAACACCGTCCAGTCCTCTGTTTCTCCTTGTTTCCCTACGCCGCCCGTGGCCCCCTCCCACTCTCGCTGGTTTCTGCCCATTTCTCTAGGGCTCTGCCCTATCTGTTCCTTTTTCTCTCCTCCACCCCATTTTCCAGGAGGTAGGGGTGAGTAGACAGGGAGCGGAAGACAGGGCAGACACCTGTGGAATGACTGAAAGGCCGAGATCGAGGCAATCGGCGAGAGAGTCAAAGACAGCCCCAGATCTGGAAAGACCTAGATAGAGACCAAAGGTGGGGGGAGGGGCGGGACAACCGAGGTCAGAGGGAAGCGGCCCAAGGGTGGGGGTGGGGAACAGGCCCAGCTGGTTGGGGGGAGCATGAGTCACCGAGTCGCTGGGAGGGAAGGGGAAGGAACCCTGGAGCCGCCCTCCCCCTTCTCTCCCTCTCCCCCTACTTAATGTCTCTCCTCTCTGCATACATGAACGGGGTCCCCCTTCTCTCTTTTATCCCAGATCCCCTTCTCCTTTTTCTCTCTCCTCACAGGGATGGGAATGAGGGAGAAAACGGCTGTGCGGGGTGGAGAGGAATAAGGCAAGATGCTTCTGCTCACAGGCTCTCAGCCTCTATCTATCTACCTGTGTCTCTGTCCCGTCTGGAGCCTGCCTCCCTTACCCTCTAGCCAAGCTCTCTGGCTCTGTGGGTTTCCCTACTTTTCACTAGCTCCCTTTCCTGGCTCTCCCTTTCTCCCGGCTCCCTCCCTCCACTCCCCTCGAGGAATGGGGGCGGGGGGGGGGGTGTCTGGGAGAAACCGGGGCTTTCCCGTTTTTCCCCAGGGGCCAGGCTCCTCCCAGCTCTTTCTTCTGCTGTCCTACCCTCCCCGCTTGAGGTTGAGTCCGGGTCACTGAGTCACGGAAGGGAAGGAGGGAGGGACCCAATTCTCTCTTCCCTATTCCCCCCCCCCCCCCCCCCCCGAGCTACATGCTCCCTGCTCCCATGCCCCAGAAAAATCTGCCCAAAGTCTCTGTCTCCCCATCTCTTCCTCTGGTCCTTTAAGAATCACAGAATCTTAGGTCAGGAAGGAGTCAGGAAGGCCAGGGGCTTCCATCCCTCCATCTCTTAACTGTCTCTGTCTCTCAATCCAGTGGTAGGGTGGTGCAATAGAGAGCACTGGACTTAAGAGACAGAGAACCAAGATTCCAATCATCTTCCTAGGAATGTGACTTTGGGCAAGTCATTTCCCATCTCTAAGTCTGTTTCCTCCTGTGTAAAATGAAGGGGTTCTTTTCAGCTCCAAGTCTCATGAATGAGGCCTCTTTGCCTCTTTCTTCCTGCTCCTATAGGGCCCCGTCCCTGTCTTGCCCTTTCCCCCTTCCGCTGATCTGGAGAGTTCCCTCTTCCCCATTCTGTGGCTGTCAGATCTTGTTGGCTATTAAATCTGTTGCCTTCAGGGTCTGTTTCTTTGCCTCGCTGTGTAATCCCAGGTCTCACCTCCTGTCTCCAAGACCAAATTAATGGAAGTGAGTGTGGGTAGGGGAGAATGTCCTGCCCCACCCTCCTCCGCCTCGAGCCATAATCAGACCTTCTCTTGGACTTGGACCTGACCTCTTCCACTCCCCTCCCCCTCCAATTCACTGGCAATCATTAACTTGGGGCCTGATGGCCAGGGGTAGGGACAGTTCTGGGCTCAGGTCAGAGTTCAAGGAGCTGGGCTGGGTAGGGACGTGTCTGTCTCTGTCCCTTCCGGTGTCTACCTCTCCATCGCTTTTTTTCCGTTGCTCCCGCTGGTGGAGGGGTGGTGGGGTAGGTTGGGGTGTGCTCCCTCTGTTCGGCACAGGAAGGCAGTGTGAGGGTCTGAGTTAGAAGAGGGCATGAGGAAGCTGGGCATTTGAATAGAACCTACGGAAAGGCTGAGTGAGGAAGACCTCAAGGTCTGGGAGAGTCTGCGAGCGGCTCTTGTTTGGGGAGGGGGAAGTCAGAGGTGATCCAGCTTTCTCCCCCCCCCCCAAGTTGGGCCTGATTTCCCAGAATCTCCAGGAGATCAGGAAAGTCCCGGCTTGGGGAGTATCCTCCCTCCCTCTTTCCAGTGTCGGGAATGGGAATGGAAGAGATGTGTCCCCTCTCCAACATAGACCCTGGGAAGGGGTTTGAATTAACCCTCACCTGTCCCTTCTGTGGCCCTCTTGGGGAAGCGTGACAGTCTCTGGACCTTCATCTATGTCAGGAGAATCGGGGCTTCCCATTCTCCAGGCTCTCACTGCCCAGATGGCCAGGTGTCTTTCCTTTTTTTGGACCCCGTTCCTTGACTAAGTAGCCCCTGCTCTGGGCTGCAGGTTCCTTATCTGTAAATCTTTGGGGTTAGGAACTGTCTCTCTCACCATGTCATGTTTCACTGATCTACCTCAATACATGTCTAAGAAGTCATCCAGCCTTCACTCGAGGGTCAGCCTCCCTGGCCTGGAAGCCCTCTGAGGGTAGGGCTGGGCCTCCTGCCTCGTGGTGTCTACCCTGGGCAGGCCCCAGATTCAGGACCTCTCCCTCAAATTGCCCAGGCAACAACTTGAATCAGCCCTAGGCCCTGAACTCCACAGAAACCTGGGCCTAAGTCAGAGGATGTATTGGGGCCAACTTCCTGGAGGAGGAGCTATTCCCTTCCCACCCCCCCCACCCCCCTTTCCTTCCCCCTAGTCCTTCCCTGCTGTGGGGAGACTGGCTTATCCTGGCACTGAACCCACCCTGCTCCACCCCAAGGCCTTCTGCCAACATTTAATCTTCTTGGAGCCACAGGCCAGAGGGGCTATTGCAACAGAAACCCTGGAGGCCCCCCCCATCTCTCCTCTTCCAGGGTGATCAGGACGAAATTCCTCTTTTCTGGAAGCTTTTTTTAAAGGCTTTCGCTGAGGGAACACTGAGGTAGACCTAGCTAGACCCAAGCCTTAGGCGACCAATGTGGGAAAGGGTGTGAAGGACATAGGAAAGCCAGGAACACATTGAGAGACTGGGAGAGCTCTAGGGGATGGGTCTGGGTGAGTAGCTTTGGGTGGGTGGGCGGCACAGTGTGAAGAATGTCCTCCCCTAGGGTAGGGCAGAAGGCACAGTTCTGCTCCCCTGATCGCAGGGGCCCGTGGGTGCTTCTGCCGCCAGCCCAGAGAAAGGGAAGTCCTAAGGCCCTGGGAAAGGCCCCTCCCTTATCCCCTTGGCAGGTCCAGGAAGCCATGGAGGCCATCCTGTCTAAATTTCCGAGTAGGGCAGGAGCATGGGGTGGGAACTGAGAAGTGAAGGGGGCTCTGTGTTCTTTGGGTGTGGAGAAGTCTTCTCAACGGCAGGACTGCCGCCTAACTAGGACCCAGGGAGCCCCTGAAGAATCCTAGGAGGCAAAAGGTTTTGGGATTGGATAAAAACCTGGAAAAAAAATCCTCATTCTGCCACCTGTGACTTGGGGAAAGTGACAAGGGACCATGCAGACCTCTCTGTGCCTCAGTTTCCTCCTCTGACCTAGGTTCCCCCGGTTGTGAACACAGAACTCTTTTTGGGTAAAGCTAGAAGTCCTTGAGTCTTTCGTCGATTCCCAGGAAATGGGTGCCTCCCCACGGAGACCACAAAGAACCCCAGCCCTGGCCACCGCAGGATTAAAAATAAAAGAGAGAAAAGTCCCTGAGCTCCTGGGAAGAGCTCCTTGCCCTGAAACCAACGGCACCCTTGTCCCTTCCTCAATCTGAGGCCTCTGGCTCAGGGTCAGATGGCATCTTTCCCACGCCCAGCCTGGACAGTTTTTCATCCTCCCCCTGCCTGAGGCCTGGTTTCCATCCCCAGCTCTGTCACTAACTCACTGAGTAATCATGGGCAAATCTCTGCCCCTCTCTGCCTCAGTTTCCTCATTTGCAAAAGGAGGGTGTTGAGAATAGATTCTAATGGATCTCTTTCCAGATCTGACAGTCTAAGGGCCCTCTCATTTTGAACGTTCTAAGGACTGTTGTAGCCCTGCCATCCCTTGTTCTAGGCACTTTCCCGGTCCTAACTTTTGGTGAGCTCTTTTCTAGGAAGGCCTGTGGATAAAGGTCAGGAGCCAAGGTTTTAAAAACAATTTGTAATATTATTATTTTTTAACCTCACCTTCTTTTCCTAATACATCTCTCTCCTCTCCCCTGCAGAGAGCAATCCCTTATAACAGAGAATGAAAAAAAGAGGTCAGAAAAACTAACTACCAAGGCAGTTGTGTGACAGTGTACTTGTGTTCCACACAAATTGTCCCTCTTGGCAAGGGGGACAATTATAACATCTACAAGGAAGGGAGAGGTGCTCCCTCTTATCCTATCGTGTGTGTGTGTGTGTGTGTGTGTGTGAAAGAAGCATTCCTATAGCACCTACTATGTGCTCTGTGCTAAGCCCTTTTTACAAATCCTCCCACACAAGGGAGGTGCTGTTACGATCCCCATTTTACAGCTGAGGAAACTGAGGAAAACAGAGGTTAAGTGACTTGCCCAGGGTCATACGCCTAGTAAGCGTCTGAGGCTAGGAAACCGAGACATAATTGGTACACTCAGTTCTCCAGTATCTGTTTGTCTGATGCGTCTAAGTTACTGTCATTATCATCTGGTTCACAGATGGGCCTTTGCTTCGTCCGGTTTTGCAGATTCTCCACTTTTAAAATTAACCACTTTGGGGCAAATGGTCCACTTTGGTAAGGAGCAAGCAGACAGGCCCAAACTTCCTCATTTGCTCTTCCCCAGTGTGTCTTTCCTCCCCCTGCATTGTGCTCAGCTAATTCTCTCTTGTTTTCCTAAGGGGAGTGGCCCCCCAAACTGAGGCAGCTACATCTGCTGCCCCACCTCACCCACCAAATAAATCATATTTTCCATTTCTGAAGGTAAAACCTGCCCCTCCTCCAGGAAGTCTTCCTTGATGAACACCAGGTGACCTAGCTGAGGGGCTCTGGCTCACTGACAGATTCAACAAATCTTGTACTAGAGGATTTTGCACTCTTATTGTTAGGATGGAAACCTCTTGAGGGCAGGTAGTAGTTCATTTTTGGTCTTAGCACAGGGCCTGACACATGTCCAACTCTCCACGGTCCCATTTGGGGTTTTCTTGGTGAAGATGCTGGAGCGGTTTGCCGTTTCGTTCTCCAGCTCATTTGACAGAGGAGGAAACTGAGGCAGGCAGGGTGAAGTGACTTGCCCAGGGTCACACAGCTAGAAAATGTCTGAGACTAGGTCTTCCTGACTCCAGGGCTGGCGCCCTATCCACTGTGCCATCTAGCTGCCCTGCCTGACACATAGTAGGCTCTATCTCAAATTTTTGAGCTCTTAAAATCTTAGACTCATAAACTTTTACTTTCTCAGAATTGTGTTGCCTTTATAGACTCTTGGAATCTTAGAAGAACTTTGGGTTTTGTGCTGGAAGGGATGGCCCACGAAGGTCACATCTAGGCCAACCCACCATCGAGGCCACCAGACTCTTTTTCTTCTGTGGGAGCAAGGGACCAACCAGTCTCTGCACAAACACGCCCAGTGATGGGGAGCTTATGATCTCTCTTGGAATCATAGGACCAGCATGGAGCACAGAGCTTGGCACAGCCTTGGCTAGGCCCTTGGTTAAATAGTTGCTGAGTTGAGTGGAATTTGGGTAGCAGCTAGTTGGCGCCATAGTGCATTTAGTGCTGGAGTCAGGAAGACTCATCATCCTGAGTTCAAATCTGGCCTCAGCTTCTTACTAGCTGTATGACCCTGGGCAAGTCACTTACCTCTGTCTGCCTCAGTTTCCTCATCTGTCAAATGAGCTGGAGGAGGAAATGGCAAAGCACTCTGGTATTTCTGCCAAGAAAACCCCAAATGGGGTCATGGAGAGTTGTACAAGACTAAACAACAGCAAAATTCCTCCTCATTTTATAGGTGGGGAAGGGCAGTCCAGAGAGTAGAAGGGAATGCTCTAGGTCGCCCAGGGTTCAGCTCGAGTTCAGAGACTAAGAGCACATACCTCCTGATTTACTCCAAGGTCCGTCTGGCCCATGGCTGTTTCCACTCCAAAAACTGGGTCAGAGGGTAGGTGATTACTAAGGTCCCTGCCAGCTCTTATATCTATGAGAGGGTTTTGTGTGTGTGTGTGTGTGTGTGTGTGTGTGTGTGTGTGTTTGTGAGTGTGTTGTGTGTTTGGTGTGCTGTCTGGATGGTTCTGAGAGAGACAGAGAGAAGGTAGTGGAGGGAGAGAGACAGACAGACAGACAGAGACAGAGACAGAGGCAGAGAGAGAAAGAGAGAGACAGAGATAGAGAAACACAGAGAGAAACAGAGAGAAGGTAGTGGAAGGAGAGAGAAAGACAAACAGATGGAGACAGACAGAGACAGAGAGAGGCAGAGAGAGAAAAAGAGAGACAGAAGATAGTGGAGAGAGAGACAGAGAGAGAGAGGAAGAGAGAGAGAATGAGAGAGAGAGAGAGAGAGAGAGAGAGAATGAACCCAGGCTTAGGCTTTTTGGGGTTGGAGCTTGCAAGAAATAGAAATGAAATGCCACAGATCAGAGGGTTATGAGATTGGAAAGGGTAAAGGCAAGGAACCAGTATACTATCTCCCCCTCACCCCATTCTCATTCCCTTGACTCATTACATCAAGCCTTAGTTGCATTCAGCTGCCACCTGTCCTGGCAGAGAATGAGGAGGGCTGGGCTCTGTGGGGAAGTCCCTGGGGTTGAGCCTCACCTCCAGGGCACCTGGTGTAAACCGGGATTCTGGAATCCTGGACTGTTTAAGGCAGGTGGACTTTGCCTGCTGAGGCTGGAGAGTTAGTGATAAGGGCTGGGGGTGAGGAGAAAGGGAAAGATTAACTGGGTGAGGAAAATGCTCCCTCCCCTTCTCCTCCAGATAAACTTGAAAAGCAGAATTCTGGGGCCTCTAGGAGGGCCAGGAAGAAGGAATCTCAAAATGTCAGAATCTGAAAAGCCTTTGTTGTCTGACTCTTTGTGAGCGCATTTGGGGTTTGCCATTTCCTTCTCCAGCTCATTTGACAGATGAGGAAACTGAGGCAAACGGGATGAAGTGACTTGCCCAGGGTCACACAGCTTGGAAGTGTCTGAGGTCAGGTTTAAACTCAGGAAGGTGAATTTTCCTGATTCGAGTCCCTGTGCCCTGTGCACTATGGCATCCCCTAGCTGCCCTATTACTGAAGGGTCTTAAATATCCTTAAATATCTCAAGATCAAGAGCTAGAAGGGTCCTAAGAAATCATAGGACCACAGAGTTAGAGCTGAAAGGGACCCCAGGGACCATATAATTCATCCTCTTCACTTTACAGAGGAGGAAACTGAGGCCCAGGGAGGCCACACAAATAGTCTGAAGGATTTCCACCTGGACCCTCTGACTCTGGATATGTTGGTTTTTTCCAGTCCTTCCCACCCCTCAAAAACCTCTTGGTGCTAATAAGGAAACTGAAGATCCAGAAAGCTTAGGTCACGGGTCAGAGTCAGGGTCAGAACTAAGGTGAGAACACACTGTGTTCTCTGGGTAAAGCTGATTATCCTGGGTGGGAAAGTGAACCTGTCACCACATCTGGAGAGCTATGGAGAGAGGCCACTTGGGAGATGACATCAGGTACATCAAGGCATATTCCCCTCCTTCCCTCCACGATGTCCCCTCAAATCCCAGTTTGTCAGAGCTGGAGGGTATCTGAGAATATAACATGTCAGAACTAAGAGGAACCATAGAACATGGAATGTCAGAACTGGGAGGGACCACAGAACAGAGAGTGTCAGAGATGGGAGGTGCCTTTGAATATAGAATATTGACAGAAAGGACTTTTTAAAATACAACATGGAACAAAATGTCAATAACCTTAGAATATAGACCAGAGAATGTCAAGAGCTGGGAGGGAGCTTGGAATATGGAATGTCAGAGATGGGAGGGGCCTTAGAACATGGAATGTTAGAGCTGGGAAGAAACAGAGATACCAATTAGAAATTCTACGATGAGGGAATTGAGCCCCCAAGAGGAGCAATAATTTTCCTAAAGTCATACAGAGCTGGGTCTAGAACACTGGCTGGAATGGGAAAATGGGGTGGTGGTGGTGGTTAAAAATACAAGTGCAATCCAGCCAGGAAAGTAGAGGAATGGGGACTCCTAGTGGTGACTATCTATGCCTTGGGCATAGGGGATCACAGAACATCTGAGCTGAGAGGAGGTAGACCCTTAGAACACAAAGCTGAGAGGGAGGCACCTGGGGATAGAAAATACCCATCCCGTCCTTCCTTGGTTTCCATGACTGTGCTGCTGTCCCTTGACTCTCCTTCTACTTCTCTGACCATGCCTTCTCAGCCTCCTTTCCCCAGCGGTCATCCATTCCCCACGATGTTGCTCAAGTCTCTTAACTCTTCCCTCTAC